TTCCAGCACACCCCCACCCTGCCCCTCTTTCCCAAGGCTGCTCCTCTGCCTGGAAAGCCCCCGCCCTTCTTCCGTGGTTCTCTCTTACCCATTCATCCCCAAGGTCATTGTTTAGATGTCGGCTCCACCTACTAGCCTTCCTGGACCCTCCTGTCTAGGAGGGCAGGTGCCCCTCCTCTGTGTTTACTCTGCCATTTCATCATAATGTCATTGTAGATAGTAGGAGCACAAGAATAAGCTGCTGCCTGGGCTAGGCAGCATCTTGGTGGCAAACCAAGCAGGATTGGAGAGCCCTCCTTATGGTCTGACTGACCTCACTGCTGAATGCTGAGCTTATGGCAGCACAGGATTCCTTGTCAGGGCTCTGAACATGGCAGACCTCTTCCTCCCTCCACTTCCCCAGCAGGATGACCTCACTGCTCCTGAAGGCTACCGGATGCACCTGACCACTAACTTGAGATTACTGCCACTGCCACCACTTATGCAACAGAGCCTAGGAAATTTGTCCCCAAAGATCCAGCTCAGGGCTTGAGCTCAGAGACTTTTTCCAAGAGTCTCAGCAAAGATCTTAGGTCCCTGCCTTGAGGTATGTTATTGTGACCATTAACACCATTTTCTCTGCAGGACGGTGGCTGCCATACCGTGAACCAGGGCGCTAAGCAGCCTCAGCTCACAAGCACAGGATGGTCATGGAGGAGGGGGTCCAGCACATGAGCTTTAGAGGCATGCAAGGTAGGTTGTCAAGAGTTAGGGTGTCACCTGCTGCCTATGAGACACCTGTGGGACTTTGGATAGGTCACTGCAGGCCTCCATGTTATAATGAGTTTTCTCGTATACAGGTGGAGGTAGTCCAGAGGCACATCCCTCTCTCCACAGAGTGCAGTGGGGGCAGGAAGGAGAGACGGCTGTGCCAAGCCGTCAGTTCTGCTGCAGAGGGTGCTGCTGCACAAGTCTGATGTCAGTCCTACCAGGGATGGATTCTGTTGCTCTCTGAGCATCTCTGTGATGGCAGGAAGAGACGTAAGAGTGACACAGAAGGGAAGGCAACTTCCTGCTCCATGAGAAAATCACAGATGCCTCCAGTTTCTTCTGTCCCCTTTCTCCAACTGTGGAACCACATCTATGTGACCCTCCTCAGTGCAAGAGCCACACAGAGGTCTGGCCAAGATATGGGAAGCTACTACACCTTTAACAAAGTCAGAGCTCAATGCTTTATTTCATTTAATCCCAGTGACACCCTCCCCCATTTGACAGATGAAGAAAACGGAAGCTCGGGGAGGTTAAGTGCATTGCCCAAGGTCACCCTGCTAGGAGGTGGAGTCTGGAAACATACAGTTGCCTGGTATAACTGCCCCAGTGAGAATTGACAGGTTCTCTAAATTTAACAAGCATAGGAACAGAGCTGGGATAACCTTCCAAGTCCTATTAACTTTCGGGATGATCAAAAGCGAGGCACCTCAGGGAGTGGGCATGCTCCAGGAGCACCAAGAACTTGGTGGCCAGGAAGTCTTCAAGGCGGAGGTGGGGCCGGTATCAGGCCTCGAAGGATGGCTATAGTTACCAGGTCCGACAAGGTCTTTCAGGAATTGGTGACAGCAATAACAAAGGCTCAGAAGAGGAAGGGAGCTGAGCCAGGTTTCTCAAGAGACAACGAGAAGTCTATACCAGGTTGTCTCAAGAGACAACTAGAAGTCTATCAAACAGGTTTCTGGGAAAGGTGTCCACCCATCTAGGGGGACATGAGGGCACTGAGAGACCAGGGTCTCTCTGTGGGGCCAAGAGAAACCTGCTTGTTGGGATCTCTGGGGAGGTAAAAGAGTGGTGGCTGTTGGTCCCTGAAGAACTCCTATTTCTGAGGAAAAGCAATAATGTGAATCAGAACACACCCCTCTCTGGTGAGCAAGCCTCCCCCTGTCGCCCAGTGCCCTTCTCCAGGATGCAAAGTCAGCTCAGGGCTCAGAACCCCACCTTTAAGCAAAAGGGTGGAGCCAGTGTGAATGACAGCTAGACGCACCTGACCACCACCTGTGACGAAGGATAAAGGCAACAGTACAGCCACATTGACCACTCTTTGTCCTTTGGTGCCCTCAGGTTTCCAGCTCACTGTGATTAAAGTAATCAAGGTGCTTCCTGAGAATGAAGATATACCCTTGTTTATCAGATCCTGAGACAAAGAAATAGATGAATTAGGTCAAAATTCAGAGGTTCTTGAATCCCAGATTGTTCAAGATGGCAGCCAGATGGAGGGACTTAAGTATATTGAGCAAAGTCGAGAAGTGGAGAGGCCAGATGTGGGTGGGGAATGGTGGGCATGGTTGGGGCTGCAGCATGCAGGGGTTGTCAGGGAAAGAGGAAGATGCGTGTCTGCAGAAACTCAAGATACAATTTGCAGACAGAGGGTCTGTTCCTTGTCCCAGCAGTTATGGGAACAATCAGGGGCAGGGGCAGTTGAGCAGAAAGGTAGACTCTGTGAATTACGCCTCATAGCCTCAGTCTTCCCTCCTGCTTCTCCTCTCTTTCTGGATACATCCATATGCCCTCTGCCATGTCACCTTCCCTGTGCTGTCTCCTTCTCAGGTACCATGGATGAAGGGATGGGTCAACAAAGACCAGGGATAGGAGAAGTGGGGAGTAAGGAGAGCGTCTCGTCCTTGTGCCCATGCTCCTGGCAGGGAGCACTCTGCAGACCCAAGAAGCCAGCTGCCAGACTGAGGGCCACAGGAGGGGAGCCTTAGGGAGTGGCTCCAGGTTCTGGGCAGCTTTGGGATCTAGAAGCAGCAGCATCTTCCAGAGCAATTAAGGCAACACCTCCCCTAGTTCATGGATTTGCTCCAAGGCAGTGTTCTCACTGCATTTTTGTCTCTCAGAAGCATATGTCAACATCTGGAGACACTCTGGGTTGTCACAACTGGGAAGTGGTTCTTACTGGCATCTAGTCGGTAGATCTCAGGGATGCAGTTACAATGCACAGGATATCCCCCTACAGCAAAGAATTATATGTCCCCAAATGTCCATAGTGTCACAGATGAGAAGCCCTGCTCCAAAGGATCTGTTTTTTAGGCACTTGAAGAAGCCCCTGGTTGGCACCCTCCCCCCCAGGTCATCATTTCCTCTCAAGGTAGCCCTGTGAGGGGCTGCCATGGTGAGTTAGGTCCCAATTAAGACACGTGGAGTGGGGGTGTAAGTGTGGGAGGGTGCTAACACAAGTTTCAGGTAAAGGGGCTTCAGCTTCCCCGCCCTCCCCACTTCTAGTAAGGACACGTGCTACACAGGAGCTTCCCTTGGAATCTGCACCCTCGAAGGAGGTAGGACACACTGTGCCGGCTCAGATAGGGGTACGCTGGGATGAGAGAGCTGCCTGAGCAACCTCCAAGACCCCAGCAGCTTTGAATACTCCATAGTTCTTATTGTACATTCCCAGCCATCTAGAGAGCAGCAAGGCTTAGCCAACCTCCCAGCCACACGGGTGGACACGTGTGTGTGCACTAACGCAAACAGGACAGGAGAGGACAGGACTCACTGCGTGAGGAAACCTGCCTTAGGAGTCACCCCCCTCCACTGGTCCCTCTGTCCAGCTCTCTAGGATCTAGGGACTCCAGTTCAACAGTGTCAGAAGCCAATGACCTTTCCTTTCTTCAGATGCCCAGTGGGCAAGGGGGTGGTGGTGATGCAATGAGGCAGCCGCCTTAACAGGACGCCAAACTGTGAGCTACAGTCAGAGGAGAGAGATCTTCAGAGTCTGAGGGTACAGCTCTGTGCACCCCAGCTTCATCACTGACATGTCACTTTACCTGTCCCTTTCCTCGCCCTTAAAATGAGGTAAGAATGTGAGAATTTATTTGCAATATCCACGTGAGGTGGGTGAGAAAACAGAAGGGAGATGGCTTGCCCAAGGTCACACAGGGAATGAGCAGTGGAGCTGGGGCTGCAACCCAGGCCTGGCCAATACAGTTGCCTCCAAGGGGGATGAGAGAGTTCTCAGGGACCCTACTGCAAAGCGGGGTCACGATATTTCGAGGTGCAAAGGATTTTAGAGCAAAGGCCTCCGTGAGCTCGGCATTTATTAATGGTGGAAATTTAAGTTAGGGGACTGGCTCAGGCAGGGTGGGCCCCTCATGGCAGGGGCTAATGGGCAGATGCCACTGTAAACACTCTTGAGACCTAGAGCCAAAGGCCCTGCTGCTGTTGACTGGGCAGGCCAGGCCCCACTAAAAATAGAAGGACTCTCAGGTCCAGCTCCCTGACCACAGCAGGCAGGCCGCTCCCTGTGCCCCCGCCTCCTCCTCTCCCCTCCCCCGTCCCCAACGGACAGGAACCGGGCTTCTAGAAAGAGCAGAGATGTTAAGGTTTTTCACTTCCGGCCAGAGAAGACTGTTAAGTTGATGCCCAGTGGGCATGTGTCCAAATTCTTGTGGGCAGTAATCGTGAGGAGGTTCTCACTCCAAGGTCCTATCCATTTCCTTCTTAGAGAGGGAGATGTCAACCTCCAAAACCCACCCCAGGACGGAGTAGGGCCAAGGCCAAAAGTTGTCCAGTTTCTCCACACCTTGCAAGTCAATCTGGAGCCCGCTTCTTGTGTTTTGTTTCCCTGTCTGAACTGGCTCTCACTGTTGACAGCACTGTGCGATTCTGTATTTGCCATGGCTTTCGGAGAAGGTCTGCTACGGTCCTTCTTGGGGAACCCCCTGCCCCCTGGAGATGGCAGGGATGGAGCGAGCCAACCAGCCAGAGGACAGTCCTGAAGTCCGAGACAAGTGCTTCCAGCGCTAGGGGCAGCAGGCAGGGGTGTAGGGCGGGAGGCTCTGGGGCCCGAGTCCTCGGTGCAGGTCTGGGCTCAGCCGGGGATTTCCTTTCAAAGGTGACTTAGAGTTGCTTCATTAGGGGAGCGCCCTCCCGGGCGGGCCCTAATGGCGTGTTTGGCAGAGTCAGCGAAACGCAGCGCGCAGCGGCTCTGCGGCAGGGGAGCGCCCTCTCCCGCGCCCTCGCCCTCTCCCGCGCCGGGCAGCGGCGCGCACGGGGCCATTTGCAGCGCAGGCAGCCTTGCGAGCGGCCACGGCGCCTGGGCGGGGAGTGAGGCGGCACCATGGCGCTGAAGAAAGAGAGCAACGCAGTGTCCTTCGACATGCTGCTGATCGTGCACTCGGAGAAGCGGCGCGCTGCGCAAAGCACGCACTCGGAGCGGCAGGCGGACCCGGGCGCACCGCCTCAGCGCCGAGGAGGTAACGCGTGCCCGGCCGGACCCTCGGAGGCCCCGGCACCTCGGCCTCTTCTCCCCAGAGCCCACCCGCCGTAGGGGCACCCCACACGCCCCAGAACGAGGTCAGCCACACCGACCCTCTCCCCATGGCTGCCTGCACCTCGATGCTGTGGCTCTGGCGTCCCTTGGCAACGCACAGCCCCGTGATTGCCCTGAGCTGACTCCCCGTGCCTGCCTGTGGGTGCTTCCCTCAACCCCCGCTGCCAGTTCCTCCAACTACTCTCTGAAAGGTGCAGATTGGGTTGGAAGATGCCCTGAAAGAAGAGGGCCAGAGCCTCAGGCCTGCCTCTGGGTGGCCAAAGCCTGCTCCCCGTATGGCAGTGCAGGGTGCAGGGTCCCCGAGGAAATCTGTGTGCTGAGTCAGACTTGAAGATGGGGCGCTCCCGTCGTGCCCTTGCACAACTTGCAGCCTCAGTTTCCCTTTTTGGAGCCCTCCCCCCTTTTCTATGGAAGGCATAACGGGTGTAAAGGGCACATAGGCTTGGACAGGGTTAGGCTTGAAATATGTTCTTCCCACCTTAACTTAGTTTTTCCTTTCCTTCAGACTTTCTGGTAAAGTGTAGACTGGTAAAATAAAGTGACCGTGTGCAGAATGATTGTGGAAAGCAGATCCTAGGCCTCTGTATACTCCAGAGAAGAGGACAGACACAACGTGAAGAGGGTAGAGACGCATAATAATTGTTAGCTACGCCCCTCAGATGTCTGGGAACCTCTGGGTCCTGGGTCTAGGAAGAAGCCCTAGGGAACCCTGGCAGAGTGGTGTGTGCATGCACTGGGCTGACTGTGCGCCTTGCTTTGGGAGTGGCGCTCAGCAGCCCGCACAGTAAAACAGCTTCTGCCTCCAGCCTCCCCTCCAGCTCCTGAGCTCCTTGAAGTCTGCCTTGGTTCTTCTGTCCCCAGAGCCCCCTTGTACATTGAACATCCCCCTTCCACCTGCTGCACTGAAGCAATGAAGCCATGGATGGCTTTGTCCCCACCAGCCACAGGGGCTAGAGCTGCCCCATAGCTCCTGGTGACCCCTTGGGGAGAAAAGCAGGAAAAAATGATTCTAGAGAGCTGAGAATGTTGACAGGTACTCCAGTCCCGAGAGGAATTTGGGGGCCAACAGTTGTTTGCATTGGTTGGTTCTCCAGTTCTCAGAGCTGCTCCTGGAAGAAGGGGAAATGCCCACCCAAAGTATTTGCAAAGAGGAAATTAGCAGAGGCCACTGAGACTGCTCCTACTAGACACGACTCAGTCCAGAAGGCCTCCCACTGTGTGCGGCACAGCCGGAGGGCCCCCACGAGGCCCAGCTCTGGGTCAGATCATAAGTCCTTACTTCCACCTCCAGCTCTGATCATGTCTCTCCTGAACACTCTGTCACTATCAAGAAAGACTGAAGAACACAGAGAAACCCCAGGAATGCCTGGGATCAGCCCTGCTCCAGAAGGTGTCAAACAGCCCCCACAAACCCCACATGACTCCTGATCAATGCACTTGATCCGGAGTCAGGGAGAGTAGACCCTGCTTGCTGAGCCCTTTCTGCTATTTTTCTCCAAGTAGTTTGCTAACAGATGTTTCTTCCAGAGCCTATGTCAGTGGAGAGACCTGTGTCACATATCAGTCAGACAGTTCTCACCAGAGCAGAGACGAGGGAGCGTGCACCAGAGCCGAGGCCTGCTGGGCAGTGGAGATGTCTAGGAGACCCCTGGCTAAGCCAGCTTGCAAGCCCACGCAGCCTACGGAGGGGAAATGCTGAGTAAGATTAGCTTGTTCCAAGGCCTCTTGTTGGTGCACAAGATCCAAAAGTCACCCATGCCCACCTCCAGGCATCTCCTCCTATTTCCTCCCCACTGCAGGTCCTCAGCTCTGCAAAGCTGGGCCTGAGCTCCATTACCGTCACCATGAGGAGGACGGAGTGAAGAAGTGACTAGGTGGCTTTCTGCTGTGTCTTTGTGACAGAAAAGTGTCAAAGGGACAGGAGGCAAGGAGTGTGGCACCAGGGATTTGGGCTGCAAGGCCAACAGGTGCTCTCTCCCTTTTCTTCTAGGGCCCTAGCATCTCCCCAGCCATTCCATTAGAGCGGCGCTTCTCAAAAATGTGCCTGGAGGCCTTCGAGTCCTCTCAGGTATTCCTCTGGCCATGAACAGGTGGCATACAGGCACCTGCACCAAGTCCGAAAGAGTTTATTGTTTTAGGTTTTATCCCCAGAGTCTATGGGACATGAGCATTCCGCTCCAAAAGTGTGTGTGTGTGTGAGGGTTCCAGGTGGTAGGTCCCAGACACTGACTGCAGAGGGCTCTGCTGAAAGGAGGGACTTGGGGTGGCTGAGAGAGCTGGAGAACAGGCCTGAGGCTGCGTGTCTGGGAACAGCACCATGAGTTGTGCAGCAGAGCTGCCACCAAGGAGCATTATGTGCTCCTTTTGCACCAGGAACTTGATTTTTTTGCAGCTGTCCCCACTGCCGGAACCTATGCTAGCTCTGTGCCAGGAACTGGGTGACCTTGCAGCCCCCACTTCCAACTGTCACCAGAGAGAGAGCTTTCATTCCCTTCACTGTTGCCTCACCAGGTCCCAAGACAGAATTGGACTCAGGTGCCACTGACTGACCATTTCTAAGCCACAGACATCCATGCTCTAGCTGCAAGGGAGGCTGGGAAAGCAGGAAATCATCACTTCACTTCCATTCCCACAGGGATAGGCAGTCTTTGCCCACTCTCACCCCACAGCAAAACCCTAAAATGGGAGGTTCACCACATACAGGAATAGGCAGGCAAATGAATGGCAAACATCTTCAACAATAATCCTTCCTTATTTATGCAGTGGAGACATGGGAGTGAAAAAATGGGCCCTGTACTGAGAAAATTGATCCTGGATGATCCTGATAAACAACCCTACCACCTTGAAAACTACCATTTTAATATTTTTTTAATGTTTTAGATGTTGAGGGTTGCATTCATTCTCCCGAGTGCATCTCACTGATGGGTACCCTCCCTTGGGTCCCAGGACAGCCAGATTCCACCAGCCCCACTTTAACCCAGAGACATAGGCAACTAGCATGTCGTTCACCAGGCCTGGGTCTCCACACCACAGAAAGCCTCACACCACTCCTTGTTATTTCACAGGAGGGGTCACAAATGGAATACGAAACTGGCAGAAATTAGAAGAAAACTGCTTGGATGGTAAATTCTCTTCCTTTTTTTTTTTTGTAATCTCTGGAATTCAATATGTTGAGAAATGACTGGACGCATTGGGTTTCTCTTGTTTGAAGACTGGCTCTAGTCACCTACCTACACAGAAGTGGCTGCTTGTGACTGAGCTGGCCTCTGGAGCCACTGTGACCCTGGAAAGTGTTCCCTGGTGTCAGGTCCCCCAATTCCCTGGAGGCTAGAATGGGGGCAATGCCATAAGCTTTTGTACCTTCTTGTTCATGTGGAATGTGAGGTTTGGGTGCGTCCCCATGGAGATGAAGCTGCTCCTGTCTTGCAGGGCATCCATCTTTTTTGAAAACTTTCCTGAATGGAGAGGACAGCATCCTGCCTCGAATCACTATTACTTGAGGCCTGGGACCCAGAACACCATAAAATCTGAGAGCAGTCAGCTTGCAAAGGCTCCGCTCTCTGGTGCCAGGTGCCTGTCTCCCTGCAGGCCCAGGATTCCCTGGGAATTCTGTGCATGGACCAACTATACTGGGCCTTATTCTGTGCTCTTGAGAGATTCATTAACCCCACCTCTAGGAACAAGTATCAGGGTAACTGCACTGTGGTGTGTGAGAATTCTAATAAGAGTCAGATCTCCACTCACGGAGCCCCATGAGAGGGCTCATCAGACCCTGGGTCAGATGACTGACTCATCCAAAGCCAATGTGAAGGAACCACCCTCCATGGCCCTCCACAAATGGACAGACAGAACCACAATTGAACAAGACCAAATAACTGTGCCCTGCCATCATTCTAACAGTAACAAGATGGAAGGATGGAGTTCTAAAAGTAAATCCATCCGTTCATCCATTGCCTCAGTAAAGGTCTGCATGCTTACTCAGTGCCAGGCAGGGTTCTAGTTGTTGGGGGTAAAACAGACAATACAGTCAAGAACTCCTGCCCTTTCAAGGTTACATTAAAATTATTGTAATCATAACACCATTTTCTGCAGTTGAGTCTCAGTATCTTGGAGGTGAACAGTATGACTGTGTGTGTCCCCTGCCCTGTGCATGGGGACAAGTCATTCTCAAGACATCCACCCTAGAAGCCACCCCGCCGAGACCCAGCTGATGGGCATGCAAGGATGGGATGGCTTCTTTAACCTTGCTTTAGAGCCATCAGACGGAGTGCACCTACTCTAGCTCTACTGAAGCAGACGCCAAAGTTAGTGAAACTGTGCTGCAGGCTCGTGAGAATTACGTAAGACTCAGACCTCGGGAGACCTGTTGGACGCAGAAATGGACAGCCCATGCAGGCACGTGTGCCTGGCCAGTACGCACACAGGCAAGCGTGCTGCGGTGGGAGGAAAGACATGTAGTGTCTTGGTTCATCGCAGCCCTCCTACCTTGCCTGGGTTGTCTGCAATTCATCTTATGTCTTCTCAGGCATATTATTTCATCAGGAGAGCACTGAAATACACTGAATTCATCCTCTGTTTATCATCTTCAGGGTTTCTGGTTTGGGGGAAGTATGGTGAAAAAATGCAACAAAACACAGAGGGACATGGTAACTCTTACAAGGCTCTTCTAAAAGATTTGAAGTAGATCTTAGCATGATGTGTCAGCTAATAAAGAGGATGGTTAAAGTAATTCTTACAAAAACCAAGAGTCTCAGGTACATACAGAGCTGAAGAGAGGCTGCACGGAGGCCTTGAACCCAGACCATTCCACCAATACATGTAATTTAAAGTAAAATTTTATTCATTTTTTAAGTGGCCCCCTTGCATGCATGCAGAAATTAGAGTCATCGCTGTTTTCTGTGTTTTCTGATGGTGAGATTCTGGGTATATATCTGCCTTGCTGGCGCTCAAGGCAGCCAGCCCTGGAAACTGAAGGAAGCAGCTGATGGCTTGAGCTGCTGGAGTGTGCACAAATGTGGCTGAACATAGGACTGATCCAAAAGGGCACATGTGCCCCCTTTTGCTGCCCTGTGCAGTCCTTGGGCTGGGGCGTTGGCAGGGTGGGGGGAGCCTGGAGTGATCCAAACTTTTTCCAAGCAGCTGGTATATGGGGCTGAGCCACCCACCCCACACCCGCTAGCTGTCCAGCAACAGGCTTCCCCTGCTCTGATTGGTTGCTTTCCTTGGTCCTGGCTGAAGTCTGCCTAGCAGCACAGAGACTGACGCCCCACAGCCACAGGGAAACCAATTGTGCAGCCCCGACTATAAATACCCCACAGCAGCTATGCCAGCTAATCGCCTTCCTTGAGGATTCCCTTCCCAGATCTTGTTTCCTCCCTCGGCCAGCAGAAATGCAGCCAGCTGTGCCCGCAGGAGGTGGCCTCCCTCTTCCCTAGCCTGAGTCTGGCCTGAGTTCCAACCCAGCATACCACATCACACTGGGTTGGAGCTCTTGTGGAGCTGGCCCTTAGCCAATCAACCTATTGCAGCCCAGGGGCTCAGGGTCCTGGCTGGCCTGCTTTTAGTAGGAGGCTGGAGCCAGCAGGCTTCTCCAGGGCAAGACCCTGCCAGATGGATCGCAAGCCCAGCTCAGTTCCCTCCCCACCCACCATGATTGGCTTCTGCCTGGACCTAGGCATGGGAAGCAGTGAGTAGCAGACCTGGTTGGGTGCATGGGGGATGTCATCTGAATGGAACTTGGTCAGGCCAGTGCCACAGAGTCATGCTTGTTTCCAGGCCCAGACACCAGTCCCAGTGGTCACTTCCAGTGGCAGTCCTGACAGCCTTTCTGCAGACTGGTGGGAGGCCAGGACAAAGATGACTGGCCAAGGTGTTAGCAGTGGGGGAACCTCCCCAGCTTCCACAACCCTGTGCTTCCCAGCCCCTTCCCCCACCCCTCTGAAGCAAAGATTCAAGGGCAACCTCAGCAAGACCAGGCTACCTCAGCAGCCATAAAGGGAGCAATGTAGGAAAGGTTGGTGCTTCCCATAAGAGGGGCAGGTAAGCCTGTGGGTTCCTCCTCGTGGTGCATGGCAGAAACAGGGCATCTCTCCACAGCAGCCTGACCTCACTAGGCTCTGAGAACAGCTCTGTGTCCTTGAGACAGCAATGTCCTTAGCACAGGGAGAGCACTTTCATAGAGTGGGTACCCTGCAAATGTTTGTACAACTGAACTTAACTGCAAGTCACCCCAACTCCTAGGCTGGAATAGAAGGCAGGCTGCCCCTTTCTCAGAGGGAGGCAGGAGGCTGAGCTAAAAGTCAGGAGTCTTGGGGTTCAAGCCCTAGGTCTGATGCTCCCTAATAGCAGAGTCTGGCAAATTATCCAATCAGAGCTATAAGTCCCTTAGCTGTAGTCCTGGCTGATACAGCTCAGTGGATTAAGCACCAGCCTGAGAACCAGAGGGTCACTGGTTCGATTTCCCGTCAGGGCACATGCCTGGATTGCAGGTCAGGTCCCCAGTAGAGGACCCATGAAAGGCAACCACAGGTTGCTGTTTCTCTCCCTCTCTTTCTCTCTCCCCTCCCTTCTAAAAATAAATAAGTAAAAATATTTTTTTAAAAAGTCCCTTAGCTGTAAAATCAGGGCAGGGACTCCTCAGCCTGTTCTCCAATAAGGCGGAAACGTCAAGCATCCCCATGCTCTTGGAGTCTGTGCCCAGCGACGCCAAGTGTGAAGTTGCGATTACTTAACATACAGAAGTGTCCTCAGTTCCTTTGGAAAAGTCCGTGTGGGGTGGTGAAAACATAATACAACATACAGATGATGTATTATAGAATTGTACACCTGAAACATATGTAATTTTATTAACCAATGTCATCCCAATAAATTCAATAAATTTTTTAAAAGGAAGAGAATCTCATTAGTATCTTCAAAATTAATCCAAAGAACTAACTGCATTCATAATGCTATAAAAGTTTGGATATACAGCGTCTGGCAGAAGTAACACCTGCCTGAATGTAGTTGGTAGGGTAATAATATGGGTGTAATAATTTATAGTTTTAATTTGAACATTTCACCTAGAATGTCATATGGTGTGCTTGGGTGTGCTATTGTTATGTTACAGAATTACATGCTTATGATTCTGTAATAAAAGATTTTGTAATAAAAAAGTGTGTTATTTGTGCCAGACCCTGCATATGTTTTGAAAACTATGAGGAAAACTAAAAACCATGACTCCAATAATCCAAAGAAGCTAGAAGTAAAAGTACAAAAAAGAATCTGTGTTGGCACCTGCTGGGCGGTGTGAGGGTGCATGCAGAGGGCTCCCCGTCCCTTGCCCCTGCATTCAGGGGTGTATTCACGCCATGGGGGCCATGCAGGTGGGTGGGCACATGTTCGGGCCAGGCCTGGGATAAACTGGGCCCCCCTACACAGCCTGCTTTTTTGCAGACATACACAGCTCCCCACTGTGCCCCAGGGAAAATTCCACTGTGGTCCCAGTGGTCACTGCAGGTCCCTCTTTCTTCCTTAAATAGGAAACCTGGCAGAGAAGCAGCATCCTCAGCAGACCCAGGTCATCACTTCCTACGACAACCAAGGTAAGGAATTCGCTGCCAGTCATGACCTGTTCTCCAGCTCCTGTGAGCCAGAGACAGCTGAGTGCAGAGCTCAGACTGTGGGGAGTAGGGTCCTCCCTGCCCCGTGGACATCGGACCCCCCTTTCCCTCTCCTCACATCCATGGGAAGCAATGAGAGCATGGGTGGTAACATGGGATCAAGAAATAGTCCTTGGACCACAGAGCCCACTGATGTCATTGACATCATAGCTAACATTTACTGAGCGCTAACCATGTGCCAGGAACACAGTCAAGCCATTTACATGATTCTCATGTAAATTAAGCTTCACAACAATGCTGTTTGATTGGTGCTCCTATAATCCTCATTTTACAGATGAGTAAACTGAGGCATGGAAAGGTTGACGTGTGTTCAAGATCAAGTGGCTGGCAAGATTCAAAGCTGGCAGTTGACTTCCCGCCAACCACCACCAAGTGCTGAGCTGTTAACCTTCAAAGCTCTGCTTCTACCACAGCCCCCTACCCACGAACCGGCTTCCCCCACCGGCTCATGTGGAGCAGCAGGGCTCCACCGTTGAACCTGGAGACAAGGCCTAACCTGGTTCAACCCCCACCCCACCTCAGTTTCCTGCATTAAAGACTCAGAACCTGGTGTCTGAGAGCGCTTCTAGGATCAGCCCTGAGAGTTCACTGCCAGTGCTCTCGGCACTGTTGTCCTAACCCATAAAGAGGTTGCCAGTATGGAGGCGTTGGTTGCTCCCTGGAGGACTGGGAGCCTCAGGGAACTGCCCTCTGCAGCACGTGCAGGAAGAGCCTGTCAATTCGGTCTCCAGCCCAAGGCAGCAGGCTGTCCCTGCAGCCTGGGTCAGTACCTCTTTAGGCTAGAATTCTAGCCTTTAGGCTGGAATATGGCTCCAGGACAGGCCCCAGAGCCTCTCGGTGGGTCTGCCACGCCCTGCCACCCACCCTGAGCACCACAAGGACCAGCCTGGGCCCCACTGCTTCTCTGGACTAGCAGCAAGCAGCTGGCATGAAACAAGAATAAACAATATTCACTGAAACAAGAGTGGATTAGCGACCACTTATCTCTCTTAGTTCTGGCCACACCCCTTGTTGAAGCCTTGGTGTCTTTCCTGTCTACACAGGAGAAAGTTGAGGCTGGGACTGCTTCAGTCCCCGAGGCTGACTCTAGGGCCAGACCGCAGCACTGCCTCCCCTGTGTTATAGGCAGCTGGGGTGAGATGGGGCCTCCTTGTCACCAGAGCTGCACCTGGCACAGCATACCCTGGCTCACGTGTGCCACTCACATGCCACCTCTCAGCATTCAAAGCTTCCAGAGGGGCATGAAGGAGGGCAGCGTTGGCATCCCATGAGAAGGAAGGATCCCTGTGTAGATCGGATGGGCCGGCCTGGCAGGTCCTGTGGGATCCTGAGCCACAGCGAGCGGAAGACCCTCCCATTTGGGGCCGACCAGAGTTCACACTGACATTGACCCATTCATTCCACAAAAAGCGGTTTCTGAGGCAGCACTGGGGATTTGTTAGAGAAGAAAACAGACAAAGACTCCTGTCCCCATGGAGCTGATATCCTAGTGGGAAAGAGCTGACCACAATGAAGGGTGTCAGATAAGACTAGAAGGGAAGATAAAGCAGAAAAGAGAATAGGGAGTGGATGTATGTACATCTGGGTATGGATTAGCTTCCTATGGCTGCTGTAACAAATTATCCCAAACTTGGTGACTTAACACACATTTACTCTCTCAAATAGTTCCAGAGACCCCAAGTTTCAAATAAATCTTGTTGGGCTACAGTCGAAGTGTGAGCAGGGCAGGGTCCTTTGGGAGGTTTGTGGGGAGCATCTGTTCCTGGTCTCTTCCAGCTTCTGGAGGCTGTGAAAGCACAACAGGCCCTTGACTTATAGCTGTGTCACTCTAATCTTTGCTTCTATTGTCACATTGCCTTTTCTCCATGGAAGCAGTTCAATGTCCCTCTCCCTCTGTTTTATAAGAATGATTACACCAAGCTCCTAAATAACACATAATCCAGGATAATCTTCCTATCCCTACCCCCCACCCCCACCCCCACTCCCTCCCCAGTACGAGATCCTTAACTTAATCACATCTGCAAAGTCCCCTTTGATATTTAAGGTGACATTCACAGGTTCCTGGAATTGGGACATAGTATCTTCAAGGGCCATCACAAAGCCTCCCACAGGGGACAATTTAAAATAGAATAGTTGAAAAAGGTCTCCCTGAGAAGGTGACATTTGAGTAAGAGAGGAGGTGAGGGAGCATGCTATGCAGACACCTGGGGAAGAGCTTCCGGCAAAGGGAGCACAGGTGTGTTCAGGAAGCTGAGAGCAGGTCACTGTGGCTGGAGGGGTGTGGGCAAGGTGGGAGTGGCAGAGATGAGTCAGAGAGGACACAGGGCAGATCCTGCAGGGCCTGTGAGGCTACGCTCAGTATGCTGGCTTCTAATCTGAGTGCCATTGGAAACCACTTGGTGTTCATTATGAGAGCCCCCAAAGTCTAGAGAATAAACCCAAGTGGACAAGGATGGGTGCAAGCCCATGGGAGGCAGCATGATAAAACAAGCGAGAGAGGTCTCCCCACAGTATGGACTGAGGTGTAAGAAAAAGAGAGGAGTTACGGTTTTGGAGCTGAGGGTGGAGATGGAGGAGCTACAGGAGGTGCCTTTTAGGGAAAGAACATGAAGAATTCAGACTTGGCCTTGGCCTACAACCACATACCTGCTGTTTTGGATAATAGTGACCAGGGACATCAGTATTCCATGGGCCACCTTCCTGCTCATCCAGTGAGCCTCGATGCTCACGAGCTCTGTTCTGTGATCCACACCAGCCCCCCAGTGCAGCTTTCTCCACAGCTGGGGGAACACTTGCTGTGGGCCAGTCAGTGACCTGAGCCCCTTTTCGGGGTCACCTCATTTAATTCCACAACCACCTTCTCTGTAGGTTATCATTCCCATTTTACAGATAGGGAAATGGGGGCCAGAAAGATTTTAGTTACACAGCTGGCATGTGTCAGGCCTGGAAGTTAAACCCATGTCTGTGCACTTCCAGAGCCAGTGGGCATAACTATTCCACCATAGGCTCCCTTCCGTACAGGGCAGGGACCAGTCTTGGGGGGGACGATCTGGGTGCAGCACCCTCTTCATCTTTTGGCTAGACAAGAAATTTCAGTCAGAACTTGTTACTTGAAATAGTTCAGCTTTCCTTTCTTCCTCACCTTATCATTCAATGGAAGATTTGATACAATAGATGACAAAAGATCATTGGAATCTTGGGTCTTCCAGTGGAAGGGGCCTCAAATGATTAGTCTGGAATAGGTGTGGGGGTTGAATGAGAGGAGAGCACTCACTGGTGCCCCTGGACATCGGCCACCATGGTGATTATTGGAGTCTGTTTTCTGTTGAGGCTTTCATCCTTCCAGGTCATCACCCTTATCCCCATGCAGACACTCCGCCTTCTTTGATCATTCAGCACTAGGGTCAGACTGCCATGTTTCCAGGCCTGAGATATGCCCATGGAGCCCCACTCTGCAGAAGGAACCATCAATAGTTGTGTTTTCAAGAGCCCAGTGAAAGCTGGGTCAGTTAGGGCCACAAGAGATGCCCTTCATCCACACATGCCAGCAGGGCCCCCGAGGTCTCAGCCCTGAGCTCTGCACACTCAGTGGTCATCTCATAACTGGAGCTGCTGAGTGCAGCTTTCAAGTCACCTCCAGCTGTGCCTGGTAGCATGCTACGGAGCTGGACTCTCCCCCACCACTGTCCAGCATGCTATTCCAGGGATGTCCCAGCTCCCCATGCCCTGCACGGAAGCTGACTACTGCTGGGGGGGAAGTCACAGCAAGTCTCTGGTGAACACCCAGCTAGAGTCCATTTAAGAGTATTTTCAAAATGCTTTAGCTGAGGTTTGCAGGCATTCAACTACCAGAGGAAAATACTCCAAGACAAAGAGTTCGGGTTGTAAATGTGGCAGCCAGTTATGGAAAGAGTTAATGAACACTATAAGCCAACGATGGCAGGTATCTGAGATGAATGCCTCACTTCCTACACATACCTATGTGTATACTCATGCACATACATTCACACACACACACATGCCTGATAGTCTTTGCCAACTGATCAATGCTCCCAGCAGCCACTTTCAATCAGAGTTAATGAACAACACAAAATCTGTTTGCCATCTCTGCATTAGTAATTCTGAGCAAATTAGGCCATCAGACAAACCCTGATTTAAACTTGCAGGGACCTGGAGAGAAGCTGTCAGGTGGGAGGACCCCGCTGACTGGGTAAATGGCAGGCCAAAGCAGTGTGCCAGGGACATGCCGGGGCTTGCCTGCTGCATCTCCATTCCTGAGAAGGTAGGGAAAAGGAAGCAGAGCCCACAGCATGTGGGAGAAGACCTGGGAGTCACTTCTTGGGGATAGCAGAAAACAGTCATTAACACCCTTTCACTGAGACAGCCAAAACTGCAGCTTGAAAAATGTTATTTGCGGGGCATCTGGTAGAACTAGGAAGGGATGTCATGAGAGAGCCAGCCAGGTGACCTGAGGAAGGGCCTCCTCTGGATTTGGTTGGATCTATTAAGATTAGTATAATGATATCTGTACTTAGGGTTTAGATCTTACTTTAAATTTTGTTCTCAATGATGTTCCGCTCTTTATCATTGAAGATTGGTCAAATTAGTTTTTCCCTAAATTAAGAGTTTTATTTGATATGGAATGCTAGAGTCTACAAACTCTTACCAGTAGGAAGCATGGGGCTATTCCACGAATGCTGCCACCTGGAGACCAGAGCCCAGTCCCAGGCCCAGTTCCTGGAGCAGAGAGTCTCCTGGTAGGAGCTGGGATCACCCTCCCGTACACATCAGGCAGGCCAGGAGCTTTGCTCTTTCTCTGGAGAGGGTACTGGTCAGCAGTGCCTCTTTGGGAAAGAGACAGGAAGTGGGAATTAGGAGAATGTTGGACACTGGCCTCTGTCCAAGAGGAAGGAAGTGCAGGA